CAAAAAGTGCAAATTCGCGTCATAGACTTTACATGTATAAATCGGCGTGCGAAATCGGGCGAAAACGGCTAATTTTGGCCGACACGGGTCCAGTTCCCGTGCAATATCTTGGTGACCAGGGGTCCGACCGGCACGGGGAAAACAGCATCGTGTGCAGAATTGAACGGGCTATTGAATGGTGTGCAATGCAGAGGATGGCACGCGCCACGTGCACCGAGGAGGGCACTTTAATGTGGAAAATTGACGTTTTGGACGGATTTTGGAATTGATTTTATTTTTAGGTGAGTTCTATTTCATAATCCGCGCCGCTCTCCTGATAAGGGGGGGGGGAGGAATGTCGGGGTTTCGTATAAATATGTATCCACGTGGTGACCGGCCGCCGCGCCGCCGCCGCCCCCGTCCGGTGCTGCCGCCTGGCGGCGGGCCGGCGGGCGACCCAGCCCGGGTCAGCGGAGCGGGCGGCCGGGCGGGCAGTCAGGCGTGGGCCCTGACCGACGACGGAGCGGCGCGGTGCAGGGCGTGTGAGACCAATACATCAGCACCGGTGACCTGTTGGTGTTGGAGCACGGCGGTGGGAGGCGAATCTCAACATGTGTCTGGGTAAACGAGGGCTTTCGATTGGTGTGGTTTTCAACCCGTTTGTGACGTCATTTCTAAGGGAAAACGGGTCATAAAGGTTTCCCCCTACCGAGGCTGATTTTCCCCCTACCGAATCTGTGCTGTGCTGAACCTGTGCTGAATCTGTGCCAACTTCCGTTACATGGCGTTTGGTGTGAGGTTTCAAATACTCTATGCGTAAGAAAAGTTCATTTGATTATATGACACTGACACAGTCCTTTTTATCGCGATACGTGAGCAACGCATGAGACGCTCACTGTTCAGACTTGTTGCCACGGGTGGAGAATGTTTGAAACAGTTACCCCGGCCGGCGACCGAAAGTCAGAAAGACGATGATGCTCAAATATTTGTCAACGGTTATCAACAAACCCCTATTCTGTGGCATAAAATAATGGATGTCTGCCGTTTGTACGTTTTTAGGGAAAACTGCTGCACGCAGTTGCGGAAGATTTCGTAATTGTAACAACAATTTTGCAACACGCCTTGAAATTTCGGACGCATGTCACCTAGTGCTAGGTCAGGTCATCAGGTCAAATTTGCTGGATGATCGTGCTAAAATGCCATCATGCCCTTTGCAAAGCTTATTCCGTGGAAGTTGCAACCTTCCCACACAAAACAAAATGTCAAATTTGACCGTTTTGACCCTCTTATTGATTTGAGCTCGCACCTGAAATATTATACGCGACCGAGTAATCGAATGTTTTGTTTGCAGTGTTAAAGCTCCGTTGTGTTCATGAACTGTGAGAAAAGTTGTCGGAGAACGCTAAAATCAGAGAAATTTGACCTTTGATGATCTATGGTGATTTTATTATTGAGCTTGCCTAAAACATGACCAGATTTCTCTGATCACGTTTGTCGCTCTTTCAAACGTCGTTCCGCTTCTCGCCTCGTAGCCCAGTAGCCGAGTTAGAAGGAGCGTGAAGAGCACACCTCTCGACTCAACGTGTTACGATAGGGCCATCACCCTGGCGCGGGTTAACCCGCGCCCCACTGGGGGGGGCTATTTATAGCCCCCCCCCTCCCGTTTTTCTGCAATAACTTCCAAACCGCTTGACGGATTGACGCCAAATTTCAGTACCTTCGGCTGCATCAATTTGACACCTTGTGTCAAAAGTTAAACTTCGTAGCTACCATAGGTCGGCCGGAAATAACGTCAGAGTGACGTCATGTTCGTCCGATTTCGACGCAAAACATTGAACCACGGCAATCGCTCCCAAGAGCTCAGTTTTTAAGCTAAATCCAATTTCTTTGCATGAAAGGACTCAGAATTAACCGCGCTATCAAACTGCTATCTCGGATTTTCAAAATTTTGAAAATTTCGAAAATTGTATATAATAATGTTCAAAATTTATATTTTTATATTTTTTCAAAACGTTTTTTGACTTTTCGAAAAAACCGGAAGATATGTGACAGAATGCATGATTATGACTAACTCTAGCAAGTTTTAGCTAAATATCTTCAAAAATGGCCAAGTTATACGCATTATTGCAAAAAAGTCACAATTATTAATTTTTCAAATCAATTTTTCAGTACGTATTTGACATCGTACACCAATATAAATGGCACCATCGTGTTCCTGAGCTCAAACTGCATCCAATAGACAACTTTTTTGTTGAAAAATTTTAACTTCAAAATTTGACCTTTTTTGACCTGAAAGTGACCTGGCCTAAGCTAAATTCGACTCAAAATGACCTCGAATGACACAGACGACATCAAATTCGAAATCTATGGCCTAAATGGACCATGAAACATGTGTCACGTGACCGACGCATGATATAATATTTTCGTGACCTGTGATGACCTGACCCTGACCCGAAAATCAAAGTACAAGTTTGGTACCCTCAAGGTAGGTACCCTATCTAGAGCATCTGTTCACGAGTGTGGAAACCAAAAATGAGCCTGATCTGACTTGTAAGACGGCGGCCAGAGCCCAAAAGGTGAACAAGCAAAAATGCTAATAATTTTTACTTTGACCTGACCTGTGACGTCATCGGTGACCTCGAGGTCAATGAAATTAGGTTTCGTTCGACAGTTTTTCCGCGGCTATCAGACGCCGTTTGAATTTTGACGATCGGCCCAGTAGTTTCGGAGTTAGGAGGGGGGGCTATGAATAGCCCCCCCCCCCAGTAGGGCGTGTTATACACAGACCCCAGTGGGGCGCGGGTTAAGTTGGGGGAGCCAGTTGAGCCCCAGCAGCTCGTCCTTCTATCTCACTGATATTACCCTCGTCCTGTCTTTTGATGTTATTACAGTGCCATCTTACGATAACGGCCCTTAAATATGATTTACTTCTGTTTGATGAAACATGTCGGGCTCCGCGATGAAAAGACTAAAAACATAGAAGCTCCAAAATGAAAATAAAGTAAAAATTTAAGAACTTTTCAAGGTAGATAAGAATAATGAGAGACGCTTTTATAGATGGCAGTTTTTCGTATGGAGACAGCTTTTAGGATTTACAAAAGTGGAAAAAGTTACCCCGGTCGCGCCGGGGTCGGCTGAAAGTTACCCCGGCCACGGCCGGGGTGGCCGGGGCTGCAGGGGGCAGGTTCTCCACCCATGCTTGTAGCGTTAGAGAATGGGCCGACAGGCTGAGAAGGACTAGTTCCGCCGAAAGGATATTCTGGAATTTGAATTGAATGGTATCTAGTTTTGAAAGTATCCGTACTTCTTAAGTATAGTGGCGGATCCAGGGGGGGGGGCAAAATGGACATTTGCCCCCCCAAACGGCATAATTTTAACATTACGCCTATGGACGGTGCATGGAAAGAATCGATAAATTGTTATGGTTTGCCCCCCCCCCCAAAAACTCTGAGCTGGATCCGCCTCTGCACGATACTGCCTCATTTGAAATTTCACTTCTATATTAGTATTTGAGGAGGGTGCGTCTGTCCGTTACCGAGGTCCCGACTTGGTGGTGCTTTGCGTGGACTACAGGCCAGACCGTTGCACCTAGCCCGGTGAAATTTGCACAACTTATAGATCAAGGATGCGCGACGTGCCTTTGAGGGGTCTCAGCTCGATCGGATTGATAGGGAGCGCGTGGCGCGTGCTCAAAAAGTGCAAATTCGCGTCATAGACTTTACATGTATAAATCGGCGTGCGAAATCGGGCGAAAACGGCTAATTTTGGCCGACACGGGTCCAGTTCCCGTGCAATATCTTGGTGACCAGGGGTCCGACCGGCACGGGGAAAACAGCATCGTGTGCAGAATTGAACGGGCTATTGAATGGTGTGCAATGCAGAGGATGGCACGCGCCACGTGCACCGAGGAGGGCACTTTAATGTGGAAAATTGACGTTTTGGACGGATTTTGGAATTGATTTTATTTTTAGGTGACCGTTAAACGGAGCGAGTTGGAACAACGCCTGTTGGCAAGAGAAATGTACCGTCTCTCATGAGAAAATTGTGAAAAGCTGATTGATCCAAATCAAGGTGGTGCAAATCACAGGAGAAAATGGTGTTTGTCAATTTTTTGCCACTTAATTAATCACACGGGTTTTGCTCAATGATCTGGTATCTCTGGCAATTAAAAATGGCACCGTTGGAAAGAGCATTCAATTCTGTCCAAGGTTCAGTCTTTATTTTTGCATGATGAGCAACAGTATTCTTAAAAATGTAAATGTTCCAAACCATTACATTGTCATTTTTAGCGAAATTCATCGATGGCCCTCAAAAGTCAAAAGACTTCACGCCAGTTTTCGATCATTCTAAAGTAGAACGCATGATAATACGACACGGGCACCTCGATGCGATGTATCTTTTTGTTTTCTTACAAAATGCTTGGCCGTCAAAAAGCAATCGAACGAAATGGATATCTACCAACCAAATCGACACAGACCAACCCAATACCCACGGGTCAAAAAATCCCCCCTTCGCGTTGCGGAGCACGCGGGTAACCCTAGTTTTCCCCATTGCGATAACATAAGGAACCGAGGCTGCGGTGTCCCCGTACGCAGGATTCTGGAGACTGTCGGGCGGATGTTCGTGGCGAAAAGCTAAAGTTCTTAACTAAAAAAAAAATCATGTCTTCTCATACTTTTTAATACCTAACTCACTAGAAACAATATGTACGGGCTTCCAAAAAATGTTAAATTCAAAATGTTAGATCCATTACAATATTTTAGCTGCCCAAACTTGTGAATGTAATATATGCGTCATTATTGAAAAAGTGCTTAAGCATAGTATTCTATGGCTGACAAATATTCTGCGTCTGTCAGCCAAAACTGGCCAATCAGAGGCCCTGTTCGTCATTTCTGGGTGGGATTAATAAACATGCTGATCGCGTTGATCATCACTTGACGCACTTCTTGAACGTGTTGAATCTGTGCCAGCTTCCGTTACATGTGTGCAAGTGTGCCGAGTGTGCCGGCGGCTGCTGGTCGTCAATCTTTGATTGAATCGCATGTAAGTTGTCGTTGAGCCCTATGTTGATGTGGAGACTAAAGTGGGCATTTTATGATATTTCAAATGTGCTGAATAGAATCGTAGGCTGCGATCGATGTCAACCTCAGTGCAAATTTGTGAAAAGCAGGTTGGAGATAAGGTCTGCACCGTCGTCAAACCAAATACCGTCGTATTCTGACGATGAATTTTATCATGCTATCTTATGTGTAACATCTATTTCAATTTTATAAATTGAAATGATAGGTATGCCTTATGTATCACCCACTTTGGACCACATTTGTCCAGAAATTTCTGGGAACTTGTTTTAGTCGACTTAAAATTGTGCCCAAGTTGCTGCGCTTAGGTTATGTTTCAGTATTGAACCCGACCTCTAAGGCAGGGGGTCATCGAAAAATGAGATATTAGAAAGATGCATACTCATGCCAAATTTGCCCTGTGACCATGGCAACCTGGTTTTGTTCGGCCCCCAGAGTCGTGGTACCTAACTAAATTCATATTTGTCCTCCGTTTTCTTCGGCCTGAAGCCAGATACACAACCGCTTAAAGGGACACTCCCACCTTAACATTAGTTTTGAGTTGAGATAGCCAAATTGGTGGCCATGGCCTGCAAATACCGGTTTGGGCACTCACAACATCGACAAATGCTTTAATTCGGAGATATGGAATTTCAAACTTGCAGTTTTTGGATTCTAAGGGGCTAGTGCATTGGTATGCCCCCTTAGAATTTGTGACGTCAGCGGAGATCTAACGATTTTTAAATCTTTTACTAAAACGTTTGGTAGCACGCGGTGGTATATGCTGCCTTGCGCGCAACAAATGCCGCACTTTCAAATAAAGTCGCTAGGAACAGCGGAGATCCCAAAAAGTAAACAAAAGTAAAAGTCTTATATCTTGAAAACCGGTGAATGTTTTTCGATGAAATTTGGTAGATATTCGTTTTCGCTCTTTCTGAACCGAGCGACATCACTTTCGTGCCAATTCATTAACTTTTTTGAAGGTGGGAGGGTCCCTTTAACCTAAAAATATTTGACTTACAATTACTTGTAATCTCTCCTAAGGCATTGCCTTCGGTACTGCACTGCTCCGCCACAAGTATTTTTATTATGTCACTTTCATAACAAAACTGAATATCATCTGTATGTAATGCATCTTTTCACTGAACCTTGAAGTTTATCCTTTCAACGCGGGTGATGGTGGCAGGAGGAGCGCAAGGCATCTGTTGGTGACGGTAACTATTGCAATTTGCATGCGTGTATTCCACTTGGTTGCGCCGTGAATAATTATCAGATGAGCTCAGGAGGTCAAAATGTATCATGTCGTATGGCTTTTATAATGACATTGATCGGAATCTTTCTGTAATAATACCAAGATGTTAGCATTTCTATTTATGGAACAAAGGTTTCCATTTTTGGAACAGATGAGATGTCAAAGTTGGAAATGTTTCAAATAATAGAAAGGTCTCGATAAATGAAAGAGCTAGGTACCACAGTGTGCTCGACTCGGCTGGACAACAGAATGTTCTTCGCCTGAGGAGACATCAAACACACCCTAAGTGTAAAATGGTGTAGGTCTGTTAGATGTCACTAATACAAATTTGTCTCATGCAGCTGGTGCTGTAAATACGTGTTTGAGGAGCAGATACTTGTAAGCGTAATACGGTTTGGTATAGATCGCTCATGTAACCCCAGTACATATATTATGTAAACCTGCTGACTGAACAATTTGTTTCAGATATTTGGCATGGATACTGCTTCAGATCTCAGGGGCTTTACACTGACCTTCTCCTTGGCAGAAATATGTGGTATGTATGATATGATGACAACAAATCACTATTTGTTGCCATCACTGGCACTTAATACATTATGAGATTAAACGTGTATTACAAACAGATTACAATGCTGAGTGATTTGGAAATTTGTAAAAGATATGTATTAACTTTACTTACTAATGTATTTTGGGTTATTGTCAATTCAATATGTCCAATATGCCCGCGCCGGGCCGGTGCTCTGAGATTCCGCGCCGGGCCGGGGGCGGGGGGTCTGAACACCCCCCTTCTAACTCGGCTCCTGGGCCACGTAGCGACACGCGGTAAGCGGCAATCGAAATAACGTCCAAATAAGGATGAAAACACTTCGGTCATTTATTGGGTCAGGTCAAACGTCAGGTCACCAGAGGTCACCAAAGGTAAAATGTTGACTATTTCAACATTTTGGAAACTGCCGACGGCTATCTCGGGAGCCGATAGAGCTACAGCGCCGCGGAAAAGCGCATTCGATAGCCCTTTTACAGACCTTTTTGAGTAATGTTCTCAGAGTCAGATTTGACCTCAGGTCAACCGGTTTAGCCTCCAGAGTGCAATAACTCCAAAAATAGCCGTTTTTACGAAAAACGTTTTTTTCGGCAATAACTTTTGACTCAAAGAGCCATGACATTACTTTTGCCAGCCTCGTGTTACTCTCGTCGAGACGCGTCGAATGAACTATAATTTGACCTTAAGGTCAACTTGAAAACTTGACCTCAGATCAAGGTCATTACCTGACCGGAAAAGGTCATGTTGCATATCAGTCGATCCGCAACGTCGAGCCGAACACATCTAAGGCGTTTTCAGCGCTCTAGCACGCCTCTAGCAGAAGTCATTAGCGAAAAACTGTTAGATTCTGTTCGTGACCTGAGATGACCTCGGGGGCGTAACGAGGGGTCACAGTTGCCATTTTCCGGTTCAGTGTGTCAATTTTACCTACATCTCGATGTTTGAGAGTGTCTAGAATAGCGTTCGTGCAAAACAGACGCTTTTCAATTTTCTCCCATTGACTTATAATGGAGAGACCGCATAATTGGCCTGACCTTAGGTCACCGATATCAAAATTCCGAGATAAACATTTTATAGATAATGTTGCTCTCATCAATCGCTGAAAGTTTCAAGGCAATCGATCAGTCGGTGTAGCTATGACGAGCATTCTTATTTTTTTTTCTGGGGCGAGGTCACTTGGCGTGACCTGGTGACCTTAACTAAGGCGACCTTGGTCTGAAATTTTCACAACATTTGCGGAAAAGATGCACGAACAGGTGTGCCACCGCCGTTTTTTGAGACATCTGCGAAAAACGGCAGGGGGGGGGGGGTGTTCAAATACCCCCCCCCGGCCCGGCGCGGGAGTAAGTAAGATTCAATTTATGTATTGATGTAGTAGGTACTGGTGCTGTTAGATTAAGTACCTAATTAACTTTCTTGTTCGGACACAGCATAGCTGGGTATTTTATCATTAGCTTAGGTCTGTCACATATTTTGTTGCCTGGAATTTTTTACCATGTTCTGTGACTGACAGTGATATCAGGTAATGACATTTGGCTATTACCTTTGTGGCGTATGAACTATGCATATGAACTATTAAAAGTAGCGCAGCAGGTATGCTATAACATTGGTTTGAGCTCATTTCAGTTGTTCGTGCTAAGTGTATCTGCCTTTTAGCTTTAGCGAAATAATACTGTCTAGTGCCTGATCGTCTCAATATTCATCATATCATGGATGAGCCAACGGCATGCCGCAAACTGAGTCCACCCGTAACAGTGAACTTTCTACTGGCTAACGGCTCGTGCCGCTGCGCAGGCGCGCTGGCCGTCATCCTCACGGTGGCATGGGTGGGCCACTTCCGCGGCGGGTTCGCCTGGCAGGCCAACCCGGCCGTCGAGTTCAACTGGCACCCGGTGCTGATGGTCACCGGCCTGATCTTCTTGTACGCCAACTGTGAGTACTGTGTGGGGACGAGGGGTCCGTAGACGGCACCGGACAGCGTGCTAAGAAGGGCCATTCGGTCATGGGGCATGTTTGACAGGTGTCCCCCACGGAAAATTGTTGGGATCTCACCCCGTACAAAAGGGTAGCTTGACTGTCGTAAGATCAATGGAAATGGTTGCGAGTCGACCCTAGAAAAATGCTTAATGCCAATAGTAAAAAATGTGTCCATAATCCAGGCAAGGCACCCAATTTGGTTATAATAATGAATGGGTATGCCAATCGTATCCGATCACACACAACAATGAGTGTCCTTTTGAAATGGATCTATTTAGTATTGCTAAAATAGTTTTCATTACTTGATTGATATGCCCTTTGCTGGTGAGTTCAGGGGTAAGCACGCGGGCTAGGTGGCCTGGCGAACGTCGTCCTGTGGTGACGTAGCTCGCGTGTTGGGAGAGAGTGAACACAACGCTCGCGAGAGTCCGGTGGCTGCCACATGTCATCGGGTCCAGTGCTGTGGGTAGACCCAAGGTCTTATATAAGAGGTAGCACAGTTAGTCGTTTGTTTACATCGGTGACCTTGAAAAGATGACGTTAGCGGGTGCCTGCCAGTCTTCGCGAATATTTATCTTTGAGGATTTTAGCATGTATGGCAGTTTCATATTAACCCGCGCCCCGTAAGGGGGGGGGATGAAACGCCCCCTGTCCTTTTCCGTGGATATCTCCTAAACGGCTGCAGATATCGCCACCAAACTTTCAGAACCCCTCCGGGCATCGATTTTAGACATTGTGACCTTTTTTTTTCCAGAGGCTATGATAGGCTGGCCACAAATGACGTCAGAATGACGTTATGTTCTGCCATTTTCGACCAAAAAAAAGGTTTCGCAAGAAGAGCTGTCAGGCCTACAGCCTTGAAGCTACAGAAAAATAATCCAGACATAAAAGGTGTAGAATTGACAGGGCTACAAAACTGCTATCTCGGATTTTTGACATTCTTGGATTTAAACCCCCCAAAATTAAAAAGGTTATTATTGGAATATATTAGCCAAAAATTCTTTTTTTAATTTCGATGAAAGCGGAATATATACAGGGTGTCCCATAAGTTCGTTCTCACCTAAATTTTACGTTGAAAGGCTCTCTTGCTTAAAGGGGCCCTCCCACCTTCAAAAAAGTTAATGAATTGGCATGAAAGTGATGTCGCTCGGTTCAGAAAGAGCGAAAAGGAATATCTACCAAATTTCATCGAAAAATATTCACCGGTTTTCAAGATATTAGACTTTTACTTTTGTTTACTTTTTGGGATCTCCGCTGTTCCTAGCGACTTGATTTGAAAGTGCGGCATTTGTTGCGCGCAAAGCAGCATATACCACCGCGTGCTACCAAACGTTTTAGTAAAAGATTTAAAAATCGTTAGATCTCCGCTGACGTCACAAATTCTAAGGGGGCATTGCAATGCATTAGCCCCTTAGAATCCGAGAACTGCAAGTTTGAAATTCCATATCTCCGAATTAAAGCATTTTTCGATGTTGTGAGCGACGTGGCCAAAACTGTCTGGCGTCAAAGTGGCAATCATAAAGGTAAAAATGTTTGAAATTTGGTAAGCTGGCTTTTCAGGATGGATTATCAGCTGTCGAAGAATATTTTTCGGGGTACATAACTTATTAAGCGCAAGACTTACAAGAAGACTCAAAACAGTCGAAAATGTCTTAAAATGGCCAAGCATGTGTTTTGTTATGCCTGAGGCTAAAAATCTGTAGGGCCGATGACATCAATGTGGTCATCTGAACTACCTAGTCCATGTTCGAGATGACACACTCCTTCAAACCCTAAAACGGTCCCATAAAGGCGAAAGAGAAAGCCTCCGTTTTGTCCCACTTCCTATGCAAAAGGCCGGGGTCACGGTATTGTGGGGTTATAGACGCCCAGACGCTGACCAGGATGCGGTTGGTACTCCAGAAACAGTTATGGGATGCAGAATGTTTCTCCAAGAAGATCTTGATGGAATCTCAGCGCTCTAGCTTAACCCGCGTCCCGTAGGGGGCGGGTTAAGCTAGAAACCCGAAACCCGCCCCGTAGGGGGCGGGTTTCGGCCCCCTACGAGGGGGGCCGAAACGGCCCCCCTGTCCTTTTCCGTCGATATCTCCTAAACGGCTTGGGGCATCGCCACCAAACTTTCAGGACCCCTCCGGGCATCAATTTTACACATTGTGACCAAAAATTTTTCCCGAGGCTATGATAGGTTGGCCACAAATGACGTCAGAGTGACGTCATGTTCTGCCATTTTCGACCGAAAAAAGACTTTCGCGAGAAGAGCTGTCAGGCCTACAGCTTTGAAGATACAGAAAAATGATCAAGACATCAAAGGTGTAGAATTAACAGGGCCTCTCGGATTTTTGAAATTTTTGAGTTTTGACCCCAAAAATCAAAAAAGCAATTTTTCGGATATATTTGCCAAAAAATCCAAACAGTTTTTTGAGTTTCGAAAAAAACGGAATATATGTGTTTGTACCTACCGTCTTCTATCTACATACCAAATTTCAGATCAATATCCTGTTTTTTGGCCAAGTTATAGCGAAAAAACTGTTCAAAAATGATGACGTCAAATTTTCAAACTCAATTTTTGGCAATTCTAGACCACGTAGAGCAAAACAAAGACCACCATTAGACTCCCCGTGACGAGCTGCATCGAATGGATACCCATTTTATGCAAAATATCAACTTTGAAATTTGACCTAATTCGACCTGACCTTGACCTGACCGTCACCAAAACGTGACCTAAGCAGGCCCCAAAGGCTGCCTGACCCACATAATAGCATTTGTCATGTAAAATGGACCATAAAACATGTATCACACGACACTTTTATATTGTGACCCCCAGGTGACCCCCAGTGACCTGACCTCTGTGACCTGACCTGGTGTCAGTGACCTCAGATAGCGAATTATGTGTTTGACGAACAATGTACCATCGATGGTTTTCAATAACTTACCAATTTACTCGATTTTACAACACATTTCTTGAAATGTCTGTGAACGGTGAAAATCCGACCTTTGACCTGACCTGTGACGTCATTGGTTTGACCTAGGTCAATAAAATTTGGTCACAAGGTAGTTCCCGGGTGGGGCTATTGAACGCCGTTTGAATTTTGAAAATCGGCCGGTAAATTTCCGAGATCTTAGGGGGGGGGCCGTTTCGGTCCCCCCCCCCTACGGGTGGTAGGGTCCGCCGATAGCCCTACGGGGCGCGGGTTAACTCAAACCGCAAATATGAAAACATTTTTGGAGGAGAAAATGGCACCCGTGAGGTCGTAGGCCCATCTTCAAGCGAGACACTGCATCGGCGAACAGGTCAAGGAAAGCTCACAAGCGGTGCCAGAAGAGTGTGAAAGCATCTGTCGCTTGATCACATGTCAGGAATTTCATGGGATCCAAATTTCATGAAAATGCGTTGGGGATACTGAAATCGTGGCTCGTCGAAGCGAAGCGCTGTTCCAGCCTCCAGGTGCTCACGGCGAATGTCAAGTCAGTATGAGCTAACTTGAAGCCTGCTACGCTGCCAAACATGCCGGTTGGCATGCCGCAGCATGTATTCATGTGTTTGCCCATGAAATGAGGAGCACATTGACGTCTCATAAATATATCAAACCGTAATGTACTCTGTTTTTCATGCAAATATAATGTGAGAACGAACTTATGGGACACCCTGTATGATAGTACCTACCGTCTTCTATCTACATACCAAATTTCAGATTGATCTCTCTTTTTTTTGGCGAAGTTATAGCGAAAAAAACTGTTCAAAATAATGACGTCGAATTTTCAAACTCGATTTTTGTCAATTCTAGACCACGTAGAGCAAAACAAAGACCACCATTAGACTCCCCGTGACGAGCTGCATCGAATGGATACCCATTTTATGCAAAATATCAACTTTGAAATTTGACCTAATTCGACCTGACCTTGACCTGACCGTCACCAAAACGTGACCTAAGCAGGCCCCAAAGGCTGCCTGACCCACATAATAGCATTTGTCATGTAAAATGGACCATAAAACATGTATCACACGACACTTTTATATGTGACCCTCAGGTGACCCCCAGTGACCTGACCTCTGTGACCTGACCTGGTGTCAGTGACCTCAGATAGCGAAGTATGTGTTTGACGAACAATGTACCATCGATGGTTTTCAATAACTTACCAATTTACTCGATTTTACAACACATTTCTTGAAATGTCTGTGAACGGTGAAAATCCGACCTTTGACCTGACCTGTGAAGTCATTGGTTTGACCTAGGTCAATAAAATTTGGTCACAAGGTAGTTCCCGGGTGGGGCTATTGAACGCCGTTTGAATTTTGAAAATCGGCCGGTAAATTTCCGAGATCTTAGGGGGGGGGGGGCCGTTTCGGTCCCCCCCCCTACGGGTGGTAGGGTCCGCCGATAGCCCTACGGGGCGCGGGTTAACTCAAACCGCAAATATGAAAACATTTTTGGAGGAGAAAATGGCACCCGTGAGGTCGTAGGCCCATCTTCAAGCGAGACACTGCATCGGCGAACAGGTCAAGGAAAGCTCACAAGCGGTGCCAGAAGAGTGTGAAAGCATCTGTCGCTTGATCACATGTCAGGAATTTCATGGGATCCAAATTTCATGAAAATGCGTTGGGGATACTGAAATCGTGGCTCGTCGAAGCGAAGCGCTGTTCCAGCCTCCAGGTGCTCACGGCGAATGTCAAGTCAGTATGAGCTAACTTGAAGCCTGCTACGCTGCCAAACATGCCGGTTGGCATGCCGCAGCATGTATTCATGTGTTTGCCCATGAAATGAGGAGCACATTGACGTCTCATAAATATATCAAACCGTAATGTACTCTGTTTTTCATGCAAATATAATGTGAGAACGAACTTATGGGACACCCTGTATGATAGTACCTACCGTCTTCTATCTACATACCAAATTTCAGATTGATCTCTCTTTTTTTGGCGAAGTTATAGCGAAAAAACTGTTCAAAATAATGAC